CCAAAGAGAATAGTTGCTGTGCACCACTTACTTTTACACCTACTTAGCAAAAGAGCTTTTGCATGTGTACTTTTAATTATGCTAATGAAACTGTAATAATAGAACATAAAATGCCTCTGCCACAATGCCTAGCCAGGGCTGCAGATTTGGTGGAACAGATAAAGGGCCAGATCCCTACATGGCGTAAGTCAGCCTTACTCTGTGGAACTCACTGGAGAAGGGATGGTGTGTATCAGCTGAGAATCTGGCCTAGAAGAAAACTGAAATGAAAACTCAGCAAATGTTACCAAGACTGATTTTAATGACATGCAAATAGGGTTTCATTTGTTAAATGAACCAACCGTTCTTATCTCAAGGAGCAGGGCAATGAATGCAAGACAATAAAACTGTGCTTGTTGTGAGGAGCTAAGTGATAAAAAAAAAAGGGACTTGCCAAATATGTTCTCTGATCTAAGAAACAAAAAGCACCACAAATCATACACAAGTGAATATTTCATCAGAACCCAGGGTCTTCTCCAAAGCTCATTGAAATCAATGGGAAGAATCCCACGGATTCTAATGACCTATTGACTACATCCCTTTAAAAAAAATAAAATTCTGGGTCAGATGCTTAGCTGGTATACAAGGAAGGCACTGGATTTGTGCTCTTTACACTGTCTGAGAATCTCTCCCTGTTCAACAAAAACAAAGGTTAATGGAGTAGGATTAAAAAAAAAAGCCCCAAAAATGTTTTCAAAAATTGCTTATCATCAGGCTGTATGGTGTTATAAGTGCCTTATTTAAAAGAGATAGCATAATTAGCATATATAGAGATGAGGTTTGATTTTTTTATGTGCAATAAAACAAAATGTGGTGTGAATTATAGGACCTCTAATTACAGTTTCAAGCCAAACTGCAACAGAGCAATAGAGTATCCTTATGCATTTTAATCTATAGTTTAGCCCATTACATTGGAACAAATTTTTAATAATTTGACAAATATAGAAGGGTTCTTCCTGAGAACTTTTAGAATGCTGGCTTGAACTTAGCTCAATACACTCCAGTAATTTAATACATCTTCTGTGCACAGATTCAATTTTATGTATGCGAGAGAGAGAAAGAGAAATATTAACTTGGCAAAAAGCTTTTTGCCATGAAATTATGCAGCCTCAATGGCATACACTCAAAAGTTTTCATTTCTAGGCAATAATTTGTTGATTCATCATTTCAAAGAGAGGTAAATCTGCCAAAGCATTGAATTAAAAAAAATAATGTGCTACGTGCACCAATATTCCAAATCCTGACTCATGCCTCCTACGTGGAACAAACCCTTCAGGATCACTATGGTCCAGCAGGGCCGTCAGCTGTGGAGGGAAAATTAAGTCTTCTGAGGAAACTTGGAAGCGGCCTTCAAACATCTGCAATGCAGTCACAAAGTCCTACCCAGTTCCAGAGCAGGGACGGTTCTAGAACAGGGAAAGATCTTAGAAGCATCCCTAGAGGGAGGATTCTTCTCCAATGAGTGACACCCCCAGAACAGAGCTGGTCATCGGATATCCCAGCTAAAAGAAAAAAATTCCCACCGTAGAGTCATTGTAGATTGCTGGTAGGACAAAGCCCTTTGTACCTGCCCAGCATTCACACTGGTATTGCTGGGCACGTCTCTGGGTTAGCCAAAAGTGGTGTAAATCACATCTGGGCAACGAGTTCTCCCTTGCAGAATTTCACATGAATCATTGTTCCAGTAAAATTTTGGAATAAAGGACTGCAAAAAGTTCCATCAAAAATTATTTTTGTTCCTAGTTATTAAAGAAAGTTTAGAAAAGAGGAGACTAAGGGGGGATATGATAGAGGTATATAAGATCATGAGTGGTGTGGAGAGGGTGAATAAAGAAAAGTTATTTATTAGTTCCCTAAATAGAAAAACTAGAGGACACCAAATGAAATTAATGGGTAGCAGGTTTAAAACTAATCAAAGAAATTTCCTCATCACACAGCACATAGTCAACCTGTGGAACTCCTTGCCACAGGAGGCTGTGAAAGCTAGGACTATAACAGAATTTAAAGAGAAGCTAGATAATTTCATGGTGGTTATGTCCATAAAAGGCCAGGGGATAAAATGGTGTCCTTGGCCTCTGTTTGTCAGAGGCTGGAGATGGATGGCACGAGACAAATCACTTGATTATTGTCTTCGGTCCACCCCCTCTGGGGCACCTGGTGCTGGCCACTGTTGGCAGACAGGATACTGGGCTAGATGGACCTTTGGTCTGACCCAGTACGGCCGTTCTTATGTTCTTATGTAAAGTAGTAGACAAATAGCCAGTACTAAAGCCTCCAACCCATTTAACATTTTCTGCAACTTCATGCACAGGCATTTTCAGTTACTATATCTATCCTAATGTGATTTTTGGCCCTGATTCAGCACTTGCTTTACTTTAAACCTAGGTGTCACTTCCAGGATCTAAGCCCATATTAAGGCAGCTAAGCAAGTGCTAAAATCCTCCACTGAATCGGGGCCATTAAGAGGATCTGTCAGCAAAACAACTCTTTAGAGTCAAAAGCTCACATGCATGTTCCAGTCTGCGTTTTGGAAATAGAAATCTAACATTGTACGTGCCTGAAGTCTTTAAGCGAAGAGGAGATAGGAACTTTACGCTGCAAATAGAAACATGAATGGAGGGTTGATATCAAGGCCAGGAACTTTCGTTTTGACAGAAAAATCAGACAAGCTGATTTTGTTCCATATCAAAATAGCTTCTGTAATTTCTGATTCTCTCTTGAATATATCTGGTACTAAAAAAACCTCCTGCATTTTAAAACCCTAGATTTGGCAGAGACTCCCTCTCCAACTTGTACCTTTTATAAAACCATTTAATTATGGCAAGAAATTAATGCCTGAAAGTGGCTGCTGTCCACGTGGAGAGGACAACGGCTCTTTTATAATAATGTAATGGACTGATGTTTCAGCACTAAAATCAGTAGAGAAAACATACCACAAGGTTGAATAGCTAATTCGAGTTAGGGCTTTACTTCAAACTCCCGTTTCACTGCCACGTGTAGACACGGGCAGTTTTTCCGGGCTAGTCAGTTTCCAAAATGGCGACCGCCCAGGAACATGCTAATGAAGCGCGGGATATTTAAATCCCACGCTTCATTTGCAATTTCGGTCGCCCTCATTAGCCTCCCTAGTTCGAGGCTGGTGGGTTTACATGTAGATATATTTAGCATTTCATTTACTGACAACTTTATTTTATATAAACACCATGTTTCAGTCTGTTTAATATAACCTAACTAGAAGATTTACCTGGCATTGCTTGGGTCCTTAACCCAAATAAGTTTTGTTTTTCTTCATTTAAATCATTGTTCTGGGGTAGGCCTAGGGATGAGGGGATGAATATGCAGACTGCCTCAAGGAGAGAGGGCAACTCCTCTTTCTTTGACCACAGAAGCTTGAGGCAAGGTAAGAAGCACCTGTCCACGGCTGCTGCAGTGGGCATAGCTGGGGAGAAGGGTTGCATGTCCTCTGGCTGGCTGGGCAACACAGACACACGGACAAACTCTCTGAGATATAATAGATAGCTGTCCCTCTCTCCAACCCCTGCTGGTCAAATGGAATTATAGATGTCCCAGTCCATATCTCTAGACCCTTTCTGCCCCTTGTGGTCATTCTGCAGTATAACAGTCCCTCCTGCCAGACTCCTCCCTTTCCTTATTATGAGAAACAATTGAATTCTGGGCACATCCCATTGTCCCGACACAGCCAAAGTCTGACCTTGCTTTAAGTTAAGAGAAGAGGAAGCTGCATAGCAAATTTGGTGGTTCTCACTCTTACCATTAGGAGGAGCTCTTGAACAAACAGGCTCACAGACAGACAGACGCACATTTCTAAAATACATAGTAAGATCATTACAGTGCTTGGGTTTCAGCTTTATGCAACCAACTTCTACATTTTCCATACAATGCGTGCACTGTTGTATTATTTATAAATGTAGAGTTTTCATTCATTATTAATTTAAATTTGTGAATTTCTTGAAAAAGTTACAATATATACATATGGCTCAGATCACTGTCCGTGCTGCTCTAAAGCTTCCAGTCTGCAAAAATCTAGCTGAAAAGCTCAGGAGAACAGACTGTCTTGTAAAATTTCTAACACCTCCACTTCTGATCCTGGATGGAAAAAAATCCAAGAACAGCTGTTCTCATGGGATGCTGGCCCTTCCATTGCCAAGGCAGGCAGAAACTGAAGATGAAACCCCCCCACTTACCCAGTCATTTCAGAGTCTCAGAAAAGATTTCACTAGTATTCAGTCTGAGCTTAAGTTTGAAGAAAGTACTTTATCAGAACCAGTTCACCTGTCCCAGATTATTACACAAGAGTTTTGTTTTGTAGGTTACTCAAAAGCCTTATGATCAATAGAGAGTATCTCTGTGCTGTGAGATTCATTTTCAGATTCCTGTTAATTTGGTAATTTGTCCTTTACCAGAGAGTCAGTCATATAATGTCTTATTCCTAGAACAAAATGAGTATTGATTGTGTCATATCATTAATTAGTTTATTCAAATGTCTGTGTAAAAGAAGCCATCAATACCAAAACCAAGAGATAACCAAAAAATGAGCTGAAAACATTTTTAATCGTGATAGTCTTCTAACCTAGCACATGAGTTTGCATTAACTTCAGGGTAGCTTAACTGAGTTACACCAGATCCTCCACTGGGACTAGCAGAGCTATGCCATCTTATAGAAGCCGGAGATCTGGCCAGTATCATGGGATGGAGATGGGAAGTAGTAACTTGGGATCTTTCACTTATTCTACAATATACAACATTTGGGTCAAATTAGATCATGTGACCATGTTCCATAAACTCCCTAGTTTATTTTTTATTGTGTGTATTTTTGAATCAAAAAGATATACTCCATATTCTACATAGATTTAGAATCCTCATATGTTTAATAGAGAAAGAAATAAAATAAGTCTCTGGTCCACCTTTCTAATTGATATCTTTCGTATCTTTCAATACAGAATCCTCTGCACCTACAACTGAGTTTAGAAAATTCATTAAGCTCTGATGCAGATGTCACTTTCTCAATCCTGATGATGAACAACTGGTACAATTTCAGCTTGATGCTATGCCAAGAGTGGAATGTCACAGATTTTCTCTTGCTCACCCAAAAGAGTTCCAAGTTCCACCTTGGTTCCATTATAAATATCACCACAAACCTCACTTCAGCTAGTGACCTTCTGAACTACTTACAGGCTCACCTGGAGAGCATTAAAGACACAGTCTCAACCATAGTTATGTTTGGCTGTGACATGGAAAAGGCAAGGAGGGTTTTTGAAATAACCACCCAGTTTGGCGTGATGCCGCCTGAACTTCACTGGATTCTTGGGGATTCGCAAAACGTGGAAGAACTGAGGACAGAGGGCTTACCATTGGGGCTCATAGCTCACGGCAAAACCACACAGTCCGTTTTTGAGCATTATGTTCAGGACGCGATGGAGCTAGTGGCAAGAGCTGTGGCAACGGCTACCCTGATCCAACCGGAGTTGGCGCTTATTCCAAGTACGACAAATTGCATGGACACAGAGGAAGCTAATATCACTTCAGGGCAATATTTATCAAAGTAAGTTTTTCCTTTTTGTATTATCTCCTAAAGACAGTTTGGGGAGTAGGGAGTGAAACCTCCATTTTTTTTCCCCATCTTGAACCATTTAGTTAACCCAACATTATTCATGGCTTTGTCCTACTGTTATATTCAGCAGCTGATATTTCATTGTGCTTAATCACTTGCTAGATGATGATGCTGTTACTTAGGATGAGTAGCAGTTTGCCTCATGTGCTGATCCCAACTATAGTACTGTGTCCCATTCTGGGTACCACATTTCAGGAAAGATGTGGAGAAATTGGCGAAAGTCCTGAGAAGAGCAACAGACATGATTAAAGGTCTAGAAAATGTGACCTAGGAGGGAAGACTGAAGTAACTGGGTTTGTTGTGTTTGGAAAAGAGAAGACTGAGAGGGTAAATGATAATAGTTTCAACTATATACAAGGATGCTACAAGGAGGAGAGAAAATGTATTCTCTAACTTCTGATAAGACAGGAAGCAATGGGCTCAAATTGCAGCAAGGGAGGTTTATGTTGGACATTAGAAAAAACTTTCTAACTGTCAGGGCAGCTAAACACTGGAGTAAATTGCCTAGGCAGGTTGTGGAATCTCCCTCACTGGAGATATTTAAGAGCAGGTTAGACAGACATGTGTCAGGGATGATTGAGATGGAGCTTGGTCCTGCCATGAGGGCAGAGGACTGGACTTGATGACCTCTCATGGTCCCTTCCAGTTCTAATGTTCTATGATTTTATGATTCTATGAATAGTCCCATTCAAGTAATAGGGGCAACTTGTAGAATAAGGCACCATTAATGTGGATAAATGTCTTACACTCAAGCCAGTTTACAGGCCAAGTTGTAACAGGACTGCAAATTCACAATCAAGTGTAATAGATAAAAGCCTGGGCCAACTTCATATGTTTAGGGGAATCAGGATGCTAGACCAGGCAAAACATATTAGGTCCAAGAAAATTCCCAGAGCCAGAATGGGTCTAAGAGTGGAAAACATGTTTTTGCTTTCAGCCCCATGGCTGAGTGCATTGGGCAGCGAGACATCAAAATGCATCTTGTGTGCCACCCTCCTTCTGGTGCAGGTTAGAGAGGGATTTGGTGGAGTTGATGAATCTGTGCACAATTTCCAAAAATATAGTGTCCCCACCCCTCGTCTGCGCAAGGCCAGTTTTGTGTAAGGCTGCACAACTGCACAACCATTGTGCAAAAATTCTACCCTAGAGACTTTATTTGGCAAGTGAGTGGACAGTGGAAGGAAAAGAGGGGTCACCAAAAGATATGGTCTGTCCACCTGGTAATATTTGCTCTAGTTTTCTCTGGCCATAGCATTCATTATTGTATGACTCCCTGAGATAGAATTATATACAGGCATGGATAGGTTTCTTTCCCTCCCTTAAGTTTTTTGAACCACACTCTACCTTCCTTCCTCACAGCGGATTTATTTCCAGATTCGGGTGCATTTGAGTTTTTCATGTGCATGTTCACCAATCTCTATGCTCTCTCTTCACAATAGCCGCATGAGGAATCTCTCACACAGTTAGGACAAAAGTGTTTCCTTCGTCAGCCCCCCATCATGAATCTAAGGCTCCCAAGAAGGTTGTTTCAGCTAAGTTAAGTAAGAGTATGTCTACACAGCAATAACCAAGCATTGACCAACTACCCCAGCTAGCTAGAATCCAGCTAACATGGGTAATGACAGCAGTGAAAACAACATAGTGCTGGATTCAGAACAAGTCCAATATTTACCCAAGGTCTGTGCAGGACTCGTATTATACGTGTTGTAAACCGTAGTGGTTTGTCTTCACTCCTATGATTTCCTACACTAGCTGGACTCAAGCTAGTTTGAGCATGTGGCTCATGCACAAATGTTGCTGTGTAGACATGAAAATGGATGTTAATTTAGGCTCCAGAAAAGCACTGCTGCAATCCATTGTGTTGTGAGGTTAATGGCACTCAATTCAAAAAGCACTCATGGAAACTGTATGAATATAATTCACTAAATCTGTCTTTGAGAAATAATACTGCAACAGGAGGACAATGACAGGCTAAGTGTTGATGGAGACAGAGTATTAAGTTGATGATTAAATGAAGAAAGCAAGTTCTGTAGCAAACACACAAGATTTATGCTACAATGATGCATATTTATTCATCTCTTTCTTTTTACTCTGTAGCAATTTAGATATCTTCATGACAAAAAGTTGCAGCCAATTAACTGTGCATCTTAGGAGAGCTAACCTAATTTCACAACACACGAAAGGGAGAGTAGATGCACTCCAAATAGATATTTGATGGCAGACATCACAGGCATGTTTTGGTCAATGGGACAAGATATCCGTGTGTCCCGATCCTGCATTGTGATCTGCATTGACAATCTGCTGTGTCTACAGGAAACCCCCAGTAAAGTCAAATGGGCTTCCTTATGGGTGCGATAGTCTGATCGTGTGGATGCTATTACAGGACCAGAGAGACTTAATCAGAATCTACTTTGGTACTTCAATATAGAGCAACTGCTGGCAACTTTCTACTTCTCCTTGTCTGTCTCCTGCATGATCCCAAACCTGCAAGGAGCTCTATAAGAGATAGAACCCTGCTCCCATATAGATGCTCACTGAAGCAGGCGAGTCTCTCTAACCAGTATTGCTGTTTGGCACAGTCACGGCATGGTTGGACATTTAAATGCCCATTGTAGCACCCAAATGCAGAATTATACTTTCAGTCTCAGCATCCACATTTTAAAATGTAGCCTACAATGTTTTCAGTGTAAATGAAATCATGATCTGGCCCTCAATTAACAGCAAAAGATGGAGAACTTCCCCCTACACTAGTGCTACGTCTACATTGGCAAGATTTAGCACAAAAGCGGCTGCTTTTGTGCAAAATCTTGCCGCCTGTCTACACTGGCCACGATTACTTGCGCAAGAACACTGACTTTCTAATGTATAAAATCAGTGCTTCTTGCGCAAATACTCTGACGCTCCCGCTCAGGGATAAGTCCTCTTGCGCAAGTGTTCTTGCGCAAGAGGCCAGTATAGACAGACAGCATCAATTTCTTGTGAAAGAAAGCCCGATGGCTAAAATGGCCATCGGAGCTTTCTTGCGCAAGAGAGCTTCTACACTGGCATGGATGCTTTTGCATAAAAGCAAATCTTTTGCGCAAAGGCACATGCCAGTGTAGACGCTCTCTTACTCAAATACTCTAACGCAAAAACTCTTGCGTTTAGAGTATTTGCACTAAATCTTGCCAGTCTAAATGTAGCCTAGGGCTTTGCAATTTCCTGTTCTCATTAAAAACCCCTTACGATGAGAGTGAATTCCTGTGGCGTTCATTTTTCCTCTTGTGAATACCCTTGTTACAGGAAGGAGGCATTAGGATTTTAAAGCCTCGTCTAGTCTCTGAATTAAAGCTTTAATTGTGCTTCTTGGGTCATTTCCTCAGTCTGTGTTTTTACTCCTCACTCTGGTTCTTGACCCTTACTGAACTTTGCAAGGAGGTAATGAAGGTAAAGAAAATAGACTATTCTCATTAAATCATTATCAAAATACTGTAAATATAGTTCTGTGGATATTATGAGAGCTTCCATGCCTCCGCCCAAGAAAGAACATTAAAAATGAAACACGACAAGAAAGAGCAAACATCACCGTTTGACCAAAGAAAGTGTCATAGAATGACAATGGAATGACAGTGTCTCAAGAACACACGTTCCAGTTGCAGGGCAGACTGCTAAACGCAGAACACAAACTCCAAACTAGCTGAGAATTCTACACTTGGATTTCACCAATCTAATATAAACTCCTCAGGCACTATAACAGCCTTAATAAAGAGTCACAAAAATGACAAGGAGTCTTGTGACACCTTAAAGACTAACAGATTTACCTGGGCATAAGCTTTTGTGGGTGAAAAAAAGACTTTGTCAGATGCATGGAGAGGAAATCACAGAGGTAGGAATATATATGTACTAGCATATTAAAAGAAGGGAGGTACTTATCAAGTGTAGGACCAGTGTTAAAGAGGCCAATTCAATCATAGTGGATGTGGCTCACTCCCAGAAGTTGATGAAGAGATGCATCTACAGAGCAGGGCTAAAGTCAAATTAAGCTATGCAACTTCAGCAAAGTCAATTTTGTAGCTTAAGTCAAAACAGCTTAATTCAGCTTTTGGCGCGGTCTAAGTAGCAGGAAGTCGAAGGAAGAACACTCTACCTTTGACTTCCTTTACTCATGAAATGAAGGTTACCATGGAGTTGGAGTAAGAAGTCCTCCAGCTTGACATTATTTTGAAATAAAGGCTTGTAGACGCGTCCTATGTTATTTCGGACTAATATCAGTTATTCTGAAATAATGCTGCTGTGTAGACATAGCATAGCCTAGCCTTGATGGGGAGCTGTGAATACCAAGAGAATAAATTCACAGGCAGACCCTTGGGTACTCTGCTCTATCTTGAGAGCCAGGTAACCTTGCTTGGAGATAGATGGTCCCTTACACCAAAATGCACAACATACAGGTTACATTCCTACCAAGAACAAGCCACTTAGCCCTGCTTGATTGCACTTTAGACCTGACCTTCATTTATCTTGCATACAGCATCTGCAATATTTAATGGCCATAGAAGCCACCATATAAAACCATATGTTATTAAAAAGTGATTTCCCTCCCACCACCATACGGCTTCCACCACCATAGACAAACAATATCTAACATAGAAAACAGTGGCAGAAAAACACATGAACTTGACAAGGTTGTGAAATCAAACATTTAAATGTCACAAAGTCTCTCAAATCATGGAGTTTAAGGCCAGAAGGGGCCACCAGACCATTTAGACTTTCTGAATATCACAGGCCACCTCCTAACACGAAACCCAGCAATCAGAATTAGACCAAAGTATTACAGCCCTAAGGGGGAGCCAATGCTTCTGTTCCACAGAACAGTAGGATCTAGGGCACAATAATCTCCTAGGTCCCTGCAATAGTGCAGTTGGCCTGGATAATTTTTTATTCTCGTGTTGATCAAAAAGCTTGATGCACTATTGTATAGTAGTACACCCTAAAATAAGCTGGGTGTACACAATGCCCCAACTACACTGCAGTAGAAATCTTGAGCTACATTGATTTTCACAAGCTGAGGATTTGGCCCTGTAACTTTGGATACATTTTGAGTTTTGAGGATTTGATTTCTCAAATGCAATATGGCTCTGGCATAAGTATTCTTTTGCATTATATGAATATTAACTTTCCTATTAGGCTGAATAGAGGAGATGGTGAAGTACAGAGCTTGCAATCACTCAACCAGAACAGCTAGTAAGAGACAAACCATTCCTGAAGAATTTACACTCTAACTAGACAAAGCATGGGAGAAAAGAAGTGAGGCACTGGGGGATTACATGATTTGCCCAAGAAGGTCATACAGGAAGTCTATGGAAATAGGAAACAGCCAGATCTCCCGAGACTCAGGACAATGCTTTCAATAAAAGCCCATTGTTCTTCTAAAGTAATGTTAGACTTCAGTCATGTGGTCGTCTGGCTCTGTTGTCTCACATTTCTTCTTCCAACAGATTTTTAGCCAACACGACCTTTAATGGTCTCAGTGGCCACATTAAAGTGAAAGGCTCTTCCATCATCAGCTCCGAAAACAACTTCTTCATTTGGAATCTGCAGCATGACCCTGTTGGAAACCCCATGTGGACCCGACTGGGGAGCTGGCAAGAAGGCAAAATCACCATGGATCGGGGGATTTGGCCAGAGCAGGCCCAGAGGCACAAAAACCACATCCTGCACCCTCCCCGGCTGCACCTGAGAGTAGTAACACTCATAGAACACCCTTTTGTCTTCACGAGAAACGTGGATGACGAAGGGCTGTGCCCGGCAGGACAATTGTGCTTGGATCCTCTGACCAACGATTCGGGTGTATTGGATAGCCTCTTTGAAACCCTTCAAGGAGGGAATGACACCGTGCCCATTGAGTACAAAAAGTGCTGTTACGGCTACTGCATCGACCTCCTGGAAAAGCTGGCTGAGGATATGAGCTTTGATTTTGACTTGTACATAGTTGGGGATGGGAAATACGGAGCTTGGAAAAATGGCCACTGGACAGGCCTGGTGGGGGACCTCCTGGCTGGGACAGCCCACATGGCCGTGACCTCATTCAGCATCAATACAGCCCGTAGCCAAGTGATTGATTTCACCAGCCCTTTCTTTTCAACTAGCTTGGGCATCTTAGTGAGGACCAGAGATACAGCCGCTCCTATTGGGGCCTTTATGTGGCCACTCCACTGGACCATGTGGCTGGGAATATTTGTTGCCCTCCATATTACGGCAATATTTCTCACACTGTATGAGTGGAAAAGCCCCTTTGGGATGACCCCCAAAGGAAGAAACAGGAATAAAGTTTTCTCTTTCTCCTCCGCCCTGAACGTCTGTTACGCGATCTTGTTTGGCAGGACAGCTGCCATCAAACCCCCCAAATGCTGGACTGGAAGGTTTCTAATGAATCTCTGGGCCATTTTTTGTTTGTTTTGCCTGTCGACGTACACTGCAAACCTGGCTGCTGTCATGGTAGGCGAGAAAATCTATGAGGAGCTTTCTGGAATACATGACCCCAAGGTAAAGAATGGAGCTTTTGTTAACTCGTTCTTTGTTTTTTCTTCCCGGTTTACATTAAGTTTTTCCTAACTGATGGGTGCTAAATAGTCACATTCGTTAATTATCTCCTGACTCAGATCCAGGAGAAAAGCTAAACGGGGAGATGTTTAAACTGCTAGATTTGGATCCAGATGGCAAACTGGTTGCAGTTCTATGGACCAGAGTTCAGAGTTAGGCTTTATAAAGATAAAAGCAATTTGCCGTCTTCAGATGTGAATTTCTAACAGGCTTAAGTTGGGGGTGTTTGGATTCACCTGAGGTTTTTGGTTTGTGTCCAGTGTTCCCTGTAAGCTGAGTGGTTGGGTAGCCATCCAGGAGAGAGTTTCAAATGTTACACACCTGATTAGCAGAGTGTCCACAGCTGGCAGCGTGTGTTTCTATTGGTGGTGCACATCTGTATATAACAAAATATATTCTGCACATGGGTGGACAAAGTAGAGGGAATATTGTTCGTGTCCATCTCCACTAAGCTAGCCATAAACAGAGCCCCTCTGAACAGGTCACAACACCACAGACTCACTGCTCCGTTCAATATGTTCTGGGTGGTATTATCAAAAGCACACACTCTGCTTTGGCCCGACTCTGCTCTCATGGAAGCCAAAGGTAGAACTCCCAGTGACTTCCATGGAAGCAGACTGGGGCTAAGGTGGGAAATCCCACCCTCTAGGGACACTCATTCTTCTTCCAACTGGCTTTGTGTGTTCACTCCTTGCTGCTGTCGGGATACTCACAAGAGCAAACCTTATACAGCACATGAGTTTCAGATTCATAACTGTGAGCATTTACACTAGGAATCTGAGAGAAAGGAACATATGACCTGTGTGCTCTACCCCAACCATCCATCATAACTCATTCCAGATACTGAGCAGAAGAACGTCCATACTGGGTCAGATCAAAGGTCCATTTAGCCCATATTCTGTCTTACAACAGCCAATGCCAGACACATCAGAGGGAACAAAATAATAGGGCAATTATCAAGCAAGCTATCTCCTGTCATACAGTCCTATCTTCTGGCAGACTGAGGATGAGATATACAAAGAGCATGGGGTTCCCTTCCAGGACATCTTGGCTAATCACCATTGATGAAACAAACATCCACAAAACATCTCAGTCTTATTTGTACCCAGTTATATTTTTGGCTTTTATAATATCTCCTGACAATGAGTTCCACAGGTTGAGCATGCACTGTGTGGAGCTGTGCTTTTGGAGGGAGGGTTAAACCTGTTGAATACTTACAACAAAGTCCTTGTCAATTGAACACCCAGCACCACCACCACCATGACACTGAAAAGTTTTCCCATCCTGGATTGGGATGAAAAGTCAAAAATCTCAAAAATGCGTGTGCACCAGAAGTCTGAAAACTTTTGGTTTGATGCCATCAAAAATTATATCTTGACCATTTTCAAACTTGTTTTGTTTTCAACATCTTATTGTGTTTGTTAAAATTGACTTATATTTCAAAATGTAAACTCATTTTTCATGAGAATTTGGGTCAGTTTGAAAGTGTCCAAATAGAACATGTCTAAACTTTTCTCAATGTTTTTCAGTTGAGAAATTGATTAAAATTGACCCTTTTCCTGATGAAAAACTGTTAATTGAAAAATTCCTGACCAGCTATATTTGCTAGTAATCTGCAGACCAAGAAATATTCACAGAAATTACCAGGTGAATGGTTTAAAATAATAAATACATTTATGAAAATTTGGAAGTATTCATGGGCAATTTCACACAGAAAAAGAAGTGAATTTCTTTCAATGAATTATACGCACAACTCTAGGGATTGTGTTGTTGCCTCGCATAGCTAAGCTATATTAGCAGCACACTAAAAAGATCTATTCCAGAGAGGATGACAGTTCCCTTCCTTCACATCTGCTGGCTTACGTATGTTGGATTGTGTTTAAACTACAGCATGGATAAAAACCACAGAATTCAGACCAAAAAACTGAACATCCTCTCCCACCCAACAGTTTGGATTTGGTACTTTAATATGGGGATGTACAAGGAATTCTGATCTGGATCAGGGTTTGGATTTTGAATACCTGCTCAAGTTTGGGAACTTCAGATCTGTGGATTTTGTCTGGACACATGTATGGTGAATTTGCATACCGTTCCTTTACTCTGTTTCTAGCTCCACAGGACTGCCAAGAAAACTAGAACACTGCTTAACTTGGAAGGACTTTATTTTGTGTTCCTGAAATTTTTGAAAGAAGCTAGCAGAGGCTAAATTAATATCTTTTCTTTGGCTTGTGTCTAACTGGAAAGTCTTTGTTTTACCCTCATCCTCTGCATTAATTGGTTATGGCAAATCCATTCCACCATCTCCTTGAAGCATGATAGGAACTGTTTATGGCAAAGCTTGGAAAGGTATGAACCAAAACCATGGCTATCCCAAATTTCCAAATTCTCTTTGGGAGGGCGAGGAAAAGTTTAAAAAAGCAGAAGCTTCCAAATTATTTTCTAAAAGTGTTTGTGGTGAGGGGAGTGCCGTATCTACACAATTCAATGCAACAACAACTAATTACCCAGAGAAACAGGACCAGTACATCATCCATGGGTTCTTGTCTCACTACGGAGATGACAGTAACTAGACCACCAGGTTAGCCCATCATTATCGTTCCTTGTACTGTATATATTTTGTTTATGAATTTCCAAAGCAGTAGACATTAAGTTCTTGCCCCTTGGTACCAACTCCAAATGGGTGGCTTTGCTTTTCAAGGGAGAAAAGCCAATATGTGGTTTGGCTGCTTTGATCTACTTATGTTCCTGCTTATGTTTGGGGGTTACCATATGCTGTTCACTCGGTTAGGCTACGTCTACACTGAAAGGTTTTTGTGCAAGAAGTCTTTTGCAGAAGACCACACCTCAGACCACATCATAAAAGCGATGTGCTTTTGCACAAGAGAGCATCCACTCTGCGTGGATGCTCTTGCACAAGAAAGCTCTGATGGCCATTCGCAGAATGGCCATGAGAACACCTGTGCTTTTTCCCCATAAAGGTTTCTTGGACAAAAACCCCTCTGGAGCGTCCATACTTGCCTTTTTGTGTAATAGCTGTAGTGCAAAAGAGTTATGCCTTATAAAAGGAGGTTTACCTACACCAGAAAAAGCCCTCTCTTCTGCCGTTTTACTGCTGATTTACTTGTGCAAAAGCACATTTGAGGTGTGAATGCTCCACAGGTTTTTGCACAAAGATGGACATTTTTATGCAAAAACCTTGAGTGTAGCCTATGTGTATCTGAATACTTCTGAAATCTCTGTAGTAAACCCAAGCATTATAGGCCTTTAAGGAAGTATATTCAAGAATGGCCCAGCCATTAAAATTCTGATCTAGTTTTCAAACCCCACAATGTTCAAGAGTGTCTGAATCCTAGTTTTGCTTCTCTCATAGGAAAAAAAAGCACATTTGGATCTAAGGGTCTATCTTTAGCTCAGTACTAAATCATTAAGACCCTGATATTACAAAAACAGAAGGGCTTAACTTTACTACGAAGTCACAGGTGACTCGTGGTAGCACTGGGGAGATGCACGACCTCCCATGCCCCTACCAGAATTTTAAGTGCTAAATGGGGTGCCCCCACCTATCCCCTCCCTGTCCCTCTTGGAGGCTCTCCCTGCACCCCCTCCCTACACAGGCACTAGGCACCTTTGCTATGAGTAGTCACATTAGAAGCTACTCATGGCAGTAAAGTTAGAGATGTGTAAGTGTTTGCAAAATTGAAGTCTAGTCCTCATTTTTAATAGAGTGGTGCTTCCTCCCAATACTGGCCTTTTTCTGACATCTGCAATGGACTTCTCCTGTGTTCCCTGTCCACTCACTGGCTTAGCTCATTCTGCATTATTTTCATCATCTTCCCATATCCACTAAAATCAACTGCTGTTGCACTATAGGCCACCATCTATAAAGGTCCTAGATTTTAATTTAAGCTTCCCCTGAAGTTCAGACATGTTTTATGCTTGAGTTTTAGCTCAGACCTATTTCTATATTAAGACCAATTTGTCTTAATTAACATGAAAAAAATATAATAGGGACTGAAACATATCTGATGGTTATTGAATAATAGCTATCAAGGACCACTGTGTGCACATAATCTCGGGCTAACCATCTAAATGACTTAGGTTGTTTATCATTAGAAACCTTTTTAGATAAGAGAATGATAAATTCTGCTCTGGGTCTTGGAACATCATTGTAATAAATCTCATTAATCTTGGTATGTGCCTTAGACAAGAGGTAAGTCATTAGCAGCATGTTGATATGTGCTGCTTTACTAATGAGACCCCTTCCGCTAATGGAAGTTCTACAGTTTATTATTCACTGGGAAGTCAATGGGAAAGAGAAGTTCCCAAATGGTCTGAAACAAAGTATAGTCTAACATTTTTTTAGAAACTATAAATTGGTCAAAATCTATTGTGAAGCTGTAAAATGAGCATTTTAGTAAGTCCACATCAACTTCTGCCTAACCTTCCCTGGGTCAACATTAGGGCTGTCGGTTAATTGCAGTTAACTCACACAATTACTTTTAAAATGTCACAATTAACTGCAGTTTTAATCTCACTGTTTAAAAAAATAGAATACCCATCAACATTTACTAATGGGTGTTTTTCTACATTTTCTCATATATTGATTTTTATGACAATGCAGAAGAACAAAGATGTATGTTTATGTTATTTATTTACATAAAGTAGAAATGTATATTACTTTTTACAAATATTTGACCTGTAAAAATCAAAAACAAAAGAATTATTCAATTCACCTCAGAGAAGTACAATAACTTTATTGTGAAAGTGCAACTTACAAATGTAGATATTTTTGTTCCATAACTATTAAACAAAACAATGTAAAACTTTATAGCCTAAAGTCCACCTAGTCCTACTTCTTGTTCCGCCAATCACTCAGACACATAGGGTTGTTTATATTTGCAGGAAATAATGCTGCCTGCTTATTATTGACCATATCACCAGTA